TGTCCCAGCACGGTCACACGTGTATCGTAATGCAATGTTTCTTTCACTACTGTTCGGACCTAAACAGGCCAGTTTTTGCATAGGAACGATTGAAGCAAAATATGCAAATGGCATTTCTCAGAGGTCCCGAGATGATGATTTTTCAGAGGCTCTGAGCTCCAGTACTGCACAGTAGAAAGCAAGCATAATTTAGCAACTAAATATCGTAGCAAGGGAGTAAAGCGGTAAAACTCGAACCAATTCAGCATTTATTGGCTTTCCATCTCTGTCCACAGCACCCTCCGCAACGATAACAATGTTCAGACGTGAGCCCGCATCACGCATCATCTGCAGCTTATGGCACAGCACTGTCGGCCACTCCACCGGCACCGGCCATTCCGGTATAAAGCAGAAATCTGCCTCAGATGCCAGCGCAGCAACCAAAGCCAAATAACCGCAGTGACGACCCATAACCTGCAAAATATGGGTTTTCAGGGGCTCAGCAAATGCAAAGTTGTTGCTGCAACGCATTTTCCTTTGAAGGACCTAGAAACCGCCCAAGCCAAGAATACTTTAAAAGCCTTCGAAAACAAAGAATAGAGGTTATGAATAATGAATGTCTACAGTACAAAAAACTCTACATGAAGCTTAAATAAAAAAGCATGACAGAAATTACAGTTTTTAGAAAAACTTCGGAAGTCAGTAGAAGAGGAGCACTATAAGGCCTGGGACAGCTTCACTTGTGCCAGAAGAAACAAGAAAACAATTTTATAGACAAAGTAGACCGCAGAGCAACTAACTGAAAGAAACGGAGAAAATCTACAGAAACTTTTATGGGTTTGCTTTCATCGATAGTTACGGTACGCTTTCTTCATTTTACTTCCTACCCTTCTGCACCCGCTGTAACACCCAAAAAAGTGAAAAATGCGCCACATACTGTAAAGGCGATGTTCCCGCCTTGCGTCCCTCCCCCTACCCACAACCGAAATGATAAAATACAAAAATAAAAACATGAATTATCCTTCGATGAAATTTCAGTCAAACGTCGGGAAGCGACGTTCCCATTAGAGGTCGGATCTTCAACAGGAATCCGACACTCCACTGTCAAATCAGCTTTTCTCCCGTCGACTTTCCCATCGTAGATTGAATCTACGACAGCCCAAAACCATCCCTGGTTCCCATGGTACTCAGTCTGAAATCCTGGATCCGGAGATTGTATTGCCTGATATCCACTGCGGGAATATCTGTACATAAGCCGGAAGACCCAATAGTTTGGGGTCCGAGCACAACATCGTTCCCTCTCACCGACTGAGTGCCCTGCACAGAGTGAACTCCTCCAGTTTGTGTTTCATTATTATCTTGTTTAATAAATCCTCTTTCGTTGCTACTTTGACCCAGCGCCCCATTTGGTTCCTTTGGTCCATCGACACTGTCATGCGCGGTAACAAACCTACTTTTTTACAATCCAAGGAATATCGGTGAAGTTCTAAGTGTGGACAAAATTTGCACAGATAACATCTACACAGAAATCCCCTTTTCAACATGAGTGTCGACGATCTTTACAAATTCATATTAACACAGAGGTGGTATTGAGAGAAAAATGTAACTGATGTTTTCTAGATTTTAATTCGGAGACCTTCCTTCGTGTTAATACAAAACCGTAGAAATTACCATTACAACTATTCTAAAAAAAAATGCAATTTTAAACCTCAATAACAAATGTACGTTGATGACTTTGAGCAGTGGATATTACACAGTCAATTGCTTCACAGATTCGTTGCAGTGCCGTATCAGTTCCAATGGTCATGTCGGTGCCGCAAAAATCATTATCAATCGACCCAACCAGGCCAACAATCTACAATATTTTTGACTGTTATTATTAACACCAATCACATCAGCTGCCAAGTCATATACAAATAATGGCTAGGCATTTACTTGAATATTAGCACAATGCTTCGCTTCGTCCGAAGTTATTTTTCCATCGGCAAGAAGCTGACGAACCAAATCCGGCCATTCTTGACGAAAAAGATTCGCTCCCGTCAACGAGCCATCACCTAAAATCCGCATGATTCTCTCAACTGACCAGTATGAAGGTAAGGTACTCCGCGCTTAAGTCTGAATAAATATTCATAAGTGTTTCAGAAATTATTTCAAATATCTCGGACCATGAACTGGAAGAGGATGGGGGCTTGAAATTTTCTATGTGTTAACATATACAGTTTGGCGCTTTTGGCTCACCGTGGAGAGAAATCGAATTTTGAAAATTAATGAAAAACTGGAAGTGCCATTCAGATCTCCCAAATAAGCAAGCTTGTATTTACAGTGACCTGCCTATGTCTCATTTCTGAGCTACAAACAAAGACGGCAGAATCGGTGCGAAATGGGGTAGGCATGATCAGTACAGTGTCCCATTTCGCCATGTTAAAAGGACAGTGACATTTGCAATGCACGGTCAGAATAGTGGAGC